GGTCGCGGCATTAGGAAGGTTGAGAAGCACTTCCCTTGACTCTTCTTATAGCCTCTCAACTGCTTTCCTTGCTTCTGCCCTGGCCCATGGCTCTCAGCACACGGCCAGAGGGAGCTTGTGGAAATGGAACCTTGATCAAATGCCGCCATCTAGCACTTCCCATTTTGTTCAGTCAATAGCAAAAACCTCTTCGAGGCCCGCAGGGCCCTGCATGATCTGCCTCAGCACCTGCTGTCTCTGATGTTCATGCAACAGAAGGGCACCCTGCTCAGTGTTTCTTACTCTACATACGACAGTATGAAACACCGCCCGGTCAGTCCTGGGCCATCCTCACAAGGGTTCTCAGGTTTGGAGCCACTGCTGCAGCCACTGTGTCAATCTACGTCCGTGAAGGGCTTCCTCTTCTGTGCTAACCGTCGAGTTTCCCAAGAAGGACGTCCTTTCCCAGGGACTGGTGTCTCCTGACAACAGTCCAAAGTATAAGAGACAAAGTTTTGCCATCTTGACTTCTAAGGAGCAGGAGTTCTGGCTGTACTTCTTTCGAGACAGACTTGTTCATTCTTCTGGCAGTCCATGGCATATTTAATTTTCTTTGCCAACACCATAATTCAAATGCATTCATTTTTCTATGTCCTTGACTCATCACTCAGCTTTCACATGCATCTAAGGTGGCTGAATATCCTAGGCTTGGGTCAGACACGCGTTAGCTCTCAAAGCCATTCTTGTTCTTCACTGAAAAGAGGTCTTTTGCAGAAGATGTGCTCAATGCGATGCATCATTTGATTGGGTAACTGCTGCTTCCGTGACCGTTGATCGTGGATCCAAGTACAATGAAGTTCTCGACATCACGAACCTCCCTCCATTTTATCGTGATGTCGTTTCTTGGTCCAGTTGTGAGGACTTTTTATTTCTTTACGTTGAGTTTTTATCCATACTGAAGGCTGTAATCTTTTATCTTCTCCAGTAAGTGCTTCAAGCTTCTTTCTTTCCAGAAAACAAGGTTGTCTATATATTGCAGGTTGTTAATGAGCCCTCCTCCAATTCTGGTACTATGTGCTTTTTCATATGGCTGAGAATCTGATTATTTGCTTAGTGCACAGAATGAGTAGTATGACGAAAGGATACGGTCCTGACACACATCTTTCTGGATTTTAAATAATTCAGTAACCCCTTGTTCTGTTTGAACTACCTCTTCGTTAGTGTACAGGTTTGGTATAAACACAATTAATTGTTCTGGGTTTCTGGCTCTTTGCAAAATTCCCCAAGACTTTTATTATGATAAACAGTTTAATGCCTTTGCACAAGCAATAAAACACAAGCAAATGTTCATCTGGCATTCCTTCCTCTCAGTCAGACGCCTATGACATCAGCACTGAGGGCCTGCAAGTCGTGTCCTCTTCTGAATTCGACTTGCATTTCTGGCAGCTACTTATTGGTGCACCACTGCATTCCCTTTTAAAATAAGTTCAGTAAAAGTTCACTCTCGTGTGATATTAATGATGCTGTTTGATAATGTCTTTATTCTGTTGGACTACTTCTCTCTGGGATGGTCATAGATATGGATCTCTTCCAGTTGGCTGATCAGGTAGCTGTCTTTCGAGCTTCTTGGCATAGACATGCAAGTGCTCCTAGCATTGCATCTGTTTGTTGAAACATCTCAACTGGTATTTAATAAATTCACAGAGCCTTGTTTTCACCAATTCTTTGAGGGAAAGCAGATCAAGACATAAAACATGTATTGTGTTAAGGAAATTAAATATTTATAATTCCTTACATTTCAAGAAAGGAAAGAAATATTAGAAACGAATATAGTACGAGGCTCCTGGTGAAGGAGGCAGTGCTACCAGAATACGCGCCTAAGGGACAGGGCTGGAGAGACAGTCAGGATGACCCTTCTGTATATTTCTGGCAGAGCATAAAGTTATTATCTATTTAAAAATTCGATGATGTCTTCATGGTACCAACCTTTTTCTTTCCTTTCCCCTCAGCAGCCTTCCTAACACACCCACTGAGGTACAATAAGGAGGTGAAGAGTGGGGTTGAGGACAGGTCAGCGTCAGCCAATGACTGCCAAGCCAGGTCCAACTCACGGAGACCCCGGGCGAGTCAGAGCAGAACTGTGTAGTTTGTGGTTTCAATGGCTGATTGTTTGCCAGGGCTTTCTTCCAAGGCACCATCAAGAAGACTCGATTCTTCTTGATTAGCACTGCTGGTTTTCCTCCTCGGGGGATGCTTATTTTCTTTCTCTGGAGTACGTGGTCCGTAGAGAAAGAGAGTAAGACTCTTCTGGGTGGTCTGGTAAGTGGGGCACTCATAAATGTGCTTCCTGGACCTGAGTGTATCACCTAGTCTCCCCCTGACTGTTCCCTAGCCAGCTCAGGAAGCACTTACCAAACCTGCCTTCTCCACAAACCACAAAAGCCATGCCAAGAATGCCTTTCTGACATGTCAGCATCCATGCTTGCGTCCTATCAGTGCGATATTCTTTTGGTCCTCCGTGATCATTTATGCATGATACATATATAAAAGTAGTACTTATGCATAGGATCAATAAGTAGAATCACATAAATAGTTTCCCACAAATAATGTTTAATTCAGAACATCAAACACTGACTGAACACCCAAACATGGACCATCCCTGAGTTCACGAAGCTCACCACTCACTGCATGATAATACTTTCCAGAAGACACCCATAAGTACTTTTTTACATTGCTGGTGGAGATAAATTCTATTTACACTAAAACAAACAAGGCATTCCATGCTTTCTGGTGCAGAGACTTGGCGGACTCAATGCCTCTCTTAGTTGCTCCTTTCTGCATCTAACTGTGTTCATTTAAAATCTTTCTACCTTTTCTTCTTTCTGCTTCCCTAGGATTTAAGATCCGAACACAGGAGAACTAATCATATTAAACAGCCCACACTTGGCACATTTACAGAGCACTGTATTTTCACTTAGATTCCATTTGGAACAAGAAGATCAGTTAAAAGATGCCTCTTGCTTGGTTTAAAACAACGGCAACGACAAAAAGCTCCATACAGTGATGCTTCTATAGTCTTCGAGGACATAGAAGTCATTGAGAATTTTCAGCAAAAGTACAAAGGGTCTTTTGGGAAGCTGAGGAAGATAAAAGAATTCCCCACACACTGTAAACTTCCTGATGAAAAAATATTAGGAGTAAAAATAGCTTCCCGACTCAGTCATTCTTTGAGATTGATAATTTATTCTGATCGCCCCCCCCAAAGGGGAGGAAGGGCAAAAAAGAATCTGCTTGGCACCCCTCACAGGAATTATTCAGAAATTATTCCCAACCCACTTCCCTCACAGAATAATGGACTGTTAGGCCATCCATAAAATCCCTTTCAGTAATTTTATGGTGTGTCTCTGCATTTCATAATCTATTTTTTGTAACCACAAGCGAGAGAAACCATCAACAAGAGAACCATTTTATAAGAACTCATTCTACCGATTTTATTAAATTTCCCATTCCAAACCTTTCAGCCCTCCTCTAAAAAGAAAACAGTCTAGTTTTGAGACTCCTCTTTTTAAGTTGTAATTAATGGGCTTAAACGTAACAACTGAGAGGACACTCAGCACCGGAGGGGGTGGTGTGCCCTGCTGCACTTGGAGGTCTCTATCAGGCCTAAGGCCCTAAGGATGCAAACCACGGCCGCAAAACCTGCAAGTTTCCTGACTGCCACCTACCGACCAGGAAAAATATGACAGCTTATTTTTAAAGTTCCACCTTTTCTCTAGGGCAGTGGTCCTCACCAGTGGGTTGCGGCCGCTCTAGGGGTCAAACGGCCCTTTCACCAGGGTTGTCTGATTCATAACAGTAGCAAAATTACAGTTTTGAAGTAGCAAGGAAAATAATGTTATGGCTGAGGGGTCCCCACAACACGAGGACCACACGAAAGGGTCACGACCTTCGGAAGGTGGAGAACCACTGCTCTAGGGTGTTCCATTTTCTAGGGTTATCGGTGCTTGACATCAACACAGGTACAAATACGTCTGATACGACTGGTGTATGGATTGTTATCAGAGCTGTACGAGCCCCCAATAAGATGACCTTAAAAAAACAGGGCTGGATGCTCCACAATAGGGCACTCAGAATATTGGCTCTTTAAGTTCAAGTTTATGAAGCACATGGCACTCTAAACAAACACACCACATATACAACCAACGTTCACAGCCATCAAGTTAATTTTACTCTTAGTCCTCAAAATGGAAAAACCAAACTCGGCCATTGAGTCAATGCTGGCTCGTATAACTGTCCCATTGAGTTTCTGAGACTATAACTCTTTACGGGAGTAGAAAGCCTCATCTTTCTCCTGTGCAGAAGATGGTTTCAAACTGCTAACCTTCTGGATCTCAGCCCAATGCACAACCACTAAATCACCAGGGGTCCTCTCTCTCAGTACTAGTTTTAGGGGGGAAATAAGAAAAAAACGATGTTTTCTCTGTCGTGTTTACTACTTTCCCAACTTTTACTGTAAGAAGCCACCCAGATATATTTTAATACCAACTGAAACGTTGTTTTTGTCTACGTAGGCTGTCTCATGATTAGCTGGTCAAATTAAACAAAGTACACACGGTGGGAATTTATCTCTGGCAAAACACGCCAGCTGCCATTAGGTGGACTCTGACTCATGGTGGCTCCGCGTGTGTCTGGCAGCACTGTGGGTTTTCACTGGCTGCTTACTCTGGAATCAGATCACCAGGCCTTTCTTCCAAGCTGCCCCTGGGTGGCCTTGAACTGCCAACGTTTAGGTTAGCAGCCTGGTGCTTAATAGTTGGTGCCACCCAGCGACTAATACTCTCTCTTTAAGCAAATACATTCTGAAAGCCAGAGGGCCCCTCCACAAACACCCAGAAGACAGAACTGCAAAAGTAGTGGAATTTCTCCGAGGTACTGAATTAGGCTGAGGGGGTGCATGGACACTGGCATAGTCTCTCCTGGCGGTAGGCAACGTGGGACCAAGTGGAGGAGGCAGCACGTACCTGGCTTAAAGTGTGGTAAGGAATGGACTCCAGGCCACGTGTCCTCATTTGGTGTTCCAAGAACCTAGTGGAGAGCAGGAAATTGTGGAGACAGACGTGTTACTTCCAAAGCACTCAAAATTCTTATAGAAAACAGTACACTGCATATTATGAAACTCTGGATTTTTCCCCCATTGTCATGTGCCAGGGATTTTATTTCAGTGAAAACAAACCCAGCTACAGAGCCACCCAGCACCAACCTCTGTGTTATAACAAACGTGACTGCATGGCATGAGATGTGTTTAATCCGCTTTGTTTTACCAAGTCCAGGCTGGGCGAGCAGGCTGAGGGCTAAAAATGCTAAGCTGGCCCTTCATGGGACGGAGTGAAGTATGTACGGGCCCCTCATGACTCTTTGGTGAGCCCTTCCTCCCAGTACCCTGGCTCTTCACCTAACAGTTCTCATGCTGCCAAGTCTTCTCCCACATCCTCCCTTCCGAGCATCGCAATAATTCAAAGGAGCCGGAGAAGTACTTAGAAGGCTCAAACTCTCTATTGTTTGTCCTCATCACTGGAGTTCAACATTTTAATGAGGTCATTTATTCTTTTCCCCTTTGCCAAAATGCCCTTCCTATGCTTCTCCTCCTCCTCCTCCTTCATTTTAGGGTCCAAATGTCCACCTCGCCTACTTTCCTATCGACCACCACAATGCTTAGTCTGGCCAAGGCCCAACGGGGCAGTTCTAGTTCACACCTCACTGGGCATTTTCCAATTCTGTGACCTATTGACTATGAGCCTCAAGCCCCTGCGGAGCACCAGGAAGTTGACGAGCCAGCAGCCCAGATCCTGAAGATGGATTCCTTGGGGTCACACCTTTGCTACACGACTTGCTTACCAGCCAGGTAACGCTGAACAAGGAACAACTTCACTTAACCTTCGTTCCCTCCATTGGAAACTGGGGCTCATCACAGCAGCCACTTCATTTCTAGGACTACGTGAGTGGTGAGCAATTCCCAAGGCACTCAAAGACAGCTGGGTCAGGGCAGGGATGTAGGGGTTCAGTGGGAGAACTTAACCGGCTCTCCTTCCCCAGGGCGACTCCCAGTCGGGGAGAGCCAGTGCCCGCACCCCCGCTTCACACTGATGGGTGGGCACGGGTCGTCAAACCCGTTAGAAAGGGCAGGGATGAAGTTGGAAGCTGGCAAAGGAAAGGAGGGATGGCACATATCGTGTAAGGAAATGGGTGGTGTTGCCTTGGTCTCTGACGAGCAGGCAATTAGGCCTTCCAGAGCTCCGGCTACTTCCGTGTTCATTTATCAGGAGGGGCAGGCCTGTGACGTCAGAGGGCAGCATCCACACAGTGAGTGTTGTATGCACCGCTTTGCTTTCTACTTTGGGGTTAAATACATGTATTTGTGTTCCTCACAGAAACACTGGGTTCGGGAAAGGGATCATGCAACCCTTCCTTTAAACCAGTGGTTATCAACCTGTGGGTTGTGACCCCTCTGGGGATCGAACAACTCTTTACAGGGGTGGCCTGATTCATAACAATAGCAACATTGCTGTTATGAAGTAGCAATGAAAATAATTTTATGGTTGAGGGGTCACCATCACATGAAGAACTGTATTAAAGCGTCGCAGCATGAGGAAGGTTGCAAACCATGGCTGTAAACTATGATTGGCTATTTCTGGAAGCACTAATCATTACTAGCATCAACAGCTAGAGCTACACAAACAAGACCTTATTATTGATGGGTGGGCAGGAGACTGAGGTAAGAGGGTTGAAAGGGCTGTAACACAGACAAGAGGAGGACTTTGTTCTGACCTAAACAATTGTGAAAACAGTGTCTCTTTAAAGGCAGCCCTGGACTTTTTGTAAAAGTAATTCCAACCATTATTGCAAAAGAGGAAAACAATTAAGTCTGTGACCATCAAGTACAGCTTAGCTGGAGAATGTTCCAGATAGTTCTCATGCTAATTTTTCATGAGGGTCAAAGGAGTATAACAGTATGAAGCGTTAGCAATGGAAGGGGAGAGATTTCAGCAACAAAGTCACAGCTTGTGTGCAGGCAATTCATTATATAAAGTCATGAAAAAGGACATTAGGTGACTTGTGTGAACGTCAGGCTGCGTGCTGGTAGTCCTGGTATTAAGAACACATTCCATTCCTAAATGTGTCTTTAAGTCAAATGCTTATATAAGTCATGGTGGTTAGGTACAGTTAGTATCTAATGTTAGTCAAATTGTTTTTATTAGTACACCTAGTCCTAATTTATCGATGATCTCATTATTCACCATCTCACAGTTATGACGACTGTAAAATATTGTGTGCATTAACAACATGCACTGACAGTAATGGATGCCACTGTGCACGGCACAGGAACCCAGGTTGTGACAGTTCAGGTTACTCAAGTTAGTTGGGCTGTGATTCTTGGTGGCGCAATGATGTAATTTGTAGCTATGTAATGCTGTAGTCACCCTCCGTTTTGTGATCTGATGTCACCATCCTTCATTTTTGCATAAAGACCTGGTCTTTGGACTCTTATCACGTTGGGAAGTGAGGCATGAACACATATAGTGTGCCTTTTTATGTACAAAAAAAATCAAAGAATCATTTTCAGATATACTAACACATCTTTAACGTGATAATAGATGAGCAAGCTCACGGCCATTGAGTCGATTCTGACTCTTGGTGAACCTACTGGATAGTGCAGAACCATAATAATATAGTGTTTTCATGCGCATTGTAAAACAGCACCCATTTTAATACATTAGGCTTTATGAGGGTTGAGATCACAGACGTATATGTGGTTGGATGCTGCCTGGACTTTAAGCAGGGTTTGATTGCACATGGAACAGACCTTCTGAACGGTGTGCAAACAATGAAAAGTCCAACCAGAATGTGAGCCGCAATGTTACCCTGCCTGCACCTGATTCTAAAGGTCTGTAGCAAAATCACCCAGGGTACTATCCTCATGCACAGCCAGTGTTTCTGTTTCAAAAAGCTGGTAAACATTTTTCTCAAGGTAGGAATTAAGATGGCTTCCCCAGGTCAAGAGCCAAACACGAATAAGCCATACACAATAAACCATGGCTTTCTTGGGCAGTGCACATCAGCAATATTTATTAGCATGACCTAGCAACATTCAGCCAATCAGGTAAGCCCAGTTGGCATACAGTAATCAACCTTCCCCAAACAAAACGGAAATGAAACATAAGTCGAAGATCACAGCAAGGGGCAAGATATTTACTTATCCAATTGAATTTCAACAGGTTGTTGTAATTGTGTAAACTCAGCATTTTCAGTTTGGGTCACTGTCTGATCATGAATATTTGTCTCACTCAAAAAAACTCTATTGACCCACTAGTGTTTTTTTGTTTTTGTTTTTTTTGACAGCAACTATCAAATATAAAGGCCATCTCATAAAAATTAATGAGAAAGAGAAGTACATACTTAAAAACAAAACAAAAACTCTTACACAACCAACTACTGAAATCCCAAACCTCAAATTATACTCCTGCCTACAGTCCTGGATCATTTACACAGGATATGCAACATGGGCAGGAAGTGGGCAAAGGAAAGGAAAAATGAAATATTAATTGGGTTCCTGTAACAGCCTTTTGGGGGAGAGGCAGCTGGGGCGAGGCGTGTGGTCAAGGGGAGTGGGTGTGCCCTGCTTGAGATGCTGGAGCCTCACTGTGTGAGTGAATGAGTAGAGCCATCAGTCCACACAAAGGAAAGAGGAATTCTCAAACATTCCAACAATTATCTTTTGCACAGAAAATACTTCAAAAGAAAATTGCATCTGGTTTGCCATCAGCGTTGGAAGTGAAAGGTGGCTCTCATAGATGCCAGTACGCAGGCTGATTTTAGCAGACACTGCCGGCCTTAAACATGCTAAAATAGGCACACATTCATGTCAGCAGCTTCCCCCAAACCTGTGCGGGTGGCCTGTGCATCTCCTTGCTCTTTTACTGGCTCATTCCTTCATTCTGCTACCACTCACCATGACTGTCACGGGAAGGTAGGGGGGTGAGACAGAGGCTTCCCAGTCTTCAGAGACAGATGGGCAGGGATAGAGACAAGTTGTCTTCAATGTAGTATGTGTTTTGTCAGAGGTATGGGAACTGTAATGTGAGAACTCAAAGGAGGTAGTGCTTAGGTCTTAACCACTGTATCACCAAGACTCCTGGGGGAGAAAGGCAGGGGAGAATCACGCAGGAAGGGGCAGTGTGGACTCCTTAGGTGAGGAGAGAGGGGGTGGGAGGGGCAGCACGCTGCTAGAAGACTTAGACAGAATACCTTCAGTTCTTGCTTTTGTACAACATTGTTCTCTTCCTGAAGGCCCTGCCCTGCCCCTGACCTGACTGGGTCTATTCTGCTTCGGGTTCTAGGTTAAGCCCCAGAGTCACGTTCCCTGTAAGCCTTACTAGCCTTTCTGGTCCAAGTTACAGCTCCGTCTTTGTGATCTCCCAGGGTTTTCTGCACTTTTATCATAGGATCTCTCTCACTGCCTGGTCAGAATTCGATCATTCACTAGTCTTCCCATGGGTCTGTGGCCTACAGACTTGAGACTATGAAATTCATCTCACATGCCCAATGGGTGCCTGAAGCAAAATACGCACTCCACAGCCGCCCAGTGAATGCATGCATGGATGATCTGTCTAGAAACCACGGGAAGTTGAGTGTTGTTGGATTGTTGGCTCGATCATGGGCCAAAAAGATGGGGGTCAGATTCTGAATTCCAGGAGATGACACACACATCTCTGTCTCAGTTGTTCCTAAACTGCAGGTGGCAAGAAGCATTGAAACGTTGTGCAATTGATTTAAAGAGTTGGCATCAGCCATTTTGGAAAAAAAAAAGAAAGAAATACAAGAGAAGATATCAGAAGGATTGTGTGTGGGAAAGATTCATGTTGTTTTATCAAACTTTGGTTCAAGTTTAAATCTCTGTGTGGTCACAGCGAGTCACCATGTCCAATGTAAAAGCCACTTACAACAGGGAGCAAAGTGTTATTCTTGAAATCCAGAACACAGGCAGGAGAGCAAGTCTGCGAGACCAGAACAGAGAGTTCGGTTCTGGA